GGTTTCAATAAAAATTTGATAAAGACGACATGTTATTCTTTAAACGTATTCTCTTTAAAAGAAATATTTCAATACTAGTTATAAATATCATTCGAATTGTTCGCCACTTCTCCTATCATTTTTTTCCCCTGTTAGTAAAATGAAGTCTAGCATGTATTTTTCCATTGCGGTAGAATACGCGAGCGTGCAAGGCTGGCTCGTTTAGGGCGATACATGATTTATGAGCGCAATGAGCGTAGGAGGGACCGTCGTCCGAGCGCGGGATAAGAAGTCGTAGGTGCACTTCCGGTGCGGAGTCGCTTTGCAACTAACATGCGTAATTACGCGGAATAACGACTATTATCGAGGCTCAGTCCACACGCTCGCGAACTGCTATCGCGTGCACGTGTAATAACGTAACAACATAGAAGCATTGTTTCATTGTATGGATTAATTACGAGTGGCTGGGTCGCTAATCAATCTGTCGTAAATTGCGAGAAGCGAGCGATGGGATTGAGACGCGCGAACGGACGTCCGGGAGACGAGCGAAGCAAGAAATAAATGTCGTTTAATAATTGATGTTCTCGAATAGGATAGGAGGGAAAGAATATCCATGGTTTAATTTAATATTTTTAATTAAAAGAAGTTTAAAAATTTAGCTAATAATTTTATATTCACACTGAAAGAGTAATTTTGCTAAAGAATCTAAAAATTTGACTAGATACAGATCTGAAAATAATTTTGCAGGAATCTTAAATATGATTGAGCGGTGTTGCAAAATATTTTGATACTCTAATAATCAATCCTATTTAATTGTTTTGATGGTCCAGCAAAATTATTTTTCAGATCTGTATCTATAAGCTAAATTTTTAGATTCTTCAGCAAAATTGCTCTTTCAGTGCAATATTCAGTATTCAGTGTGTTTTGTTTTTTGTTTTGATTCGTTGATATTTGACATATATAGATAAATTTGATAAATTAGACGTATTAAGCAAGATGGAAATGTGTAAATCTACAAATGTAAATTGTATACCGGAAGTCATCATCCTAAATCGCAAAGATTAAAATGAATAAATAAATAATAATTAATGTTCTTTGTGTATTAAAAGCAATAGAGGGAAATACTTTTGAAAGATGTTAAATTGAATATCTGTGCGTGTTTTCTTCTTATGATAGACAGAATTACAATTAAATCGAAGTGAGATAGATAAGACTCATGCCAGTCCGCGCATAATGGACGAATTTCATTTCATGCGAGGCAGATAATTAATTATGTCCATTGATACCAATGTAAGTTAACTTTAATTTCGGTATTCAATTTATTCTATCTTATTTTAATTCTTAGATTTAAAAAAACGATGAAAAGTAAAGTTAATTTATACGTTAAACATTGCTAGAAATAGACATTGATCGAGCGAATATAACTCGGAACTGTTAAGAGTTATATTTACTCGATCATGTCCATTTCTCGAGTGCACAAGTCAATATTAAGAAAAGTGACAAATGCAGATAAGAGTGTGCGCACCATGAAGTCATAAATCAACGACAAGATCGAAACGAAGAAAGTAAAGAACGCCAGAGGCAAAACATTGATTATAACTGAAATATCGATTTTCCAACGACCTGATTCGCGGGACAATCGGATTCCAGCTAATCGGACGTGTCGCGACGTGACGTGTTGCTCGCGAGACATTGTCGGATCTATTTGTTCTCTAGCTGTGTATTTCCTCTTGCGTTTCTAGATCTGCTTGTTTCACTTGCACTCTCTAGTATTCCCTACTTCCAATGAACATATACGTATATTCCAAATATTCATCTCGATATATAGAGGCGTGTTTGGATTCCCACCTGGGTGTTCTCCGAGTGTCATGTCATTCTTGTTTAACGTTCGGTAAATAACAAGAATGGAGTGATATCTGGATGACACTCGGGTGGGAATTTGAACACAGCCTTGGATAACAATCGGAAAGTTGCTGAAATTAAACAGTTATTATTTTGTAATAAATATGTATGTACAGAATGAAATGAACACAATAAAATGAATTAACATTTTTTCTATACAAAACACCTGTCATTTTTATTAGCAAAATGCATGTATCGACTTGTAGAAGTAAATAGGTAATAAAAAAACTGAAAGGCTCAGTAATACAGGTTGGTATGTTCCTGATATAAATGATCATGTCGATGAAAAAGAAATTTATCTAGAATTTTTCAAAGGCATAATTGTTGCAGTTATTACTGTTAATGAAAAATGCATTTAACGGTTTTCAAGGCGTCTCAATTATCGCAAAAGTTCAGATAATTATTATTTCGAAAATATACGTCACTGAGCTATGCAACGTAATTTTTAAGTTTTTACTATAATACTTATTTTTACATACTTAAAAGTTTTTTTTGAAGTATAAGTATTAATTTTTCCTATATAGTATAACACTTAATTCATTTCATTCTATTCGTTGCTAAAATAACAGCTATTTAGTTTCAGCAATTTCGCCATCCTGTATACACATGTCTACCTCAAAAATAAATATCTACCTGGTTTCGGTATGTGAAAGGAGAGCCGTTGAAAGGAGAAAAACACAGGTACGAAAAGCGCATATAAAATGAATGATTCTTCTATCAGGAGACGGTAGAACGTCTCGGGTATCATAAAATATAAGATGGACCTTCGAGCCTCGTAGGAAGACATTAAAAGCCAAGAGGTGCGTGAAAAGCGCGATTAGAAATCGTCATCTTTCCATGGCAGGAAGTTTCTGTCATGAAGAAAAGAAAAACATTAAATCGATTTAAATAAACTACGACATAAATAAGTATAGACATAAACCGCAGAGTCATCCGCGTTACTGAGAGTAATTGGCTATTTTTTCTCACCAAGACGAAAACCAGTCCGGCGATATGCCGCACCGTAAGAAGGAAAACGGCTATCTAATGAGTGTCAAAACATTTGTAATACCTACTGGTGCGTACGTCACATCGCGAGCTACTATCGCGCGACTGCGATTAATCATGATCTATAAAAGGCTTGTGCCAAAAATCAAGTAAGATTTAAACTAGGATCTTCGAACGGGGAAGTCCCTCGAAAGGAGATCCTTGCGGAGAGTATGACGTTACACACAAAATAACAACGAGATTATCTTTTTTACATTCTAAAAAATATATACGTGTGAATTTAACACACCATGCTGTGTCTATATGTATAATAATTCTCACATCGTGTTAATGTTAATATATTAATAATTATATAGATCTGTATCTAGCTGAATTTTGGGATATTTTAGCAAAACCGTGTACATCTACTGTAGATTGTAACTAATACAGAGTAAGGGAAGAGAGCAAAATATTTAAAAGATTCTCTAGAACTCTAGACAATTCACCGAGAAAAAAGTGGTTCATTTGACTAAATTAACTTAGTTCGTTTTTATTTCTTTCGTTAAAGAATGTATGTTTTTAAGACAAACATATTATATTTGGCTTAAATACAATAAAAAATTTGTTCTCAGTGTATCTCGGTTGAATTTAATTCTTTCTTTAACGTTCTTTTTCTAATTCATAAACTAGTCAAATAAATATAGTTTTTAAAAAAGCCGCTTTTTTCAAATTGTTGGGAAAAAAAACGAAAAAAATTCGGTTTTTTTTCCGAAAAATTGCTGTTTTTACTATGTATAGTATATAAAAGACATAATAAGTAACTTTTAAATTCCTTTATAAAATTAATGCGATCTATGAATGTAGCATTATTTTTATTAAAATTTTTTATTTATCCTTCTATTTTTATAGTAAAACCTAATCTAACCTTCCTTTAATACATGGCGAAGTTTAAGTAGACAATTTTTAACTCTAGTTTGTCACACTCCGGTCTAATGAACTCCTGAAGTGTCTCTTTGTAGTTTTTTATTTTCAAATATTTTGTTACGAATTCAGTTTAAATCCAAATTATTTTCTAGACCTACTATTATCATATAAACATGATGTTTGGACTCTATATTTTTAATTCTTACATTAATGGTGCAATAGTGTATGTTTTATTGAATACATTATGTGACCTCAATCTTTTATACAAATTCAAAATTTCTGTTAACTTATTCCGCTGTGTACTCCATACGCAATTATTTTCTTTACAGAAAGAACCGAGAAGCAAACGTGGTAGGTTTTACGCGTGAATTTTTTCAAAATGAATTTTTCTACCCTTGGGAAAAAAACTAAAAAAATCCGCAGAAAAATTGGAAAAATTGGGTTTTTTCCGATCCTTTAAAACTATACAAATAAACAATTTTTTCTCAGTGTATCTCGGTTAAATTTAATTCATCTTTTTCAATAATTCATAAACTAGTCAAATAAACAATTAATTTAGTCAAATGAATCATTTTTTCTCAATGTTACAATTATCTCGGACGTTTTTGGAATTCTTCCGGACGATCTAGGACGCTCTAAAAAAAAAAACGACAATGTCCAGAGAAAAGAAGACGGATGGCAAGCCTATTACCACCTTCCTTCCACCTTCGACCGGCGTGTAAACATGCAGAAACACGTCGTTGCCGTGGTTGCCGACGCGTCTTCCGCGTTTAAAGGGAAACGAAGTTGCGGTGTCTCCCCCTTCCACTTTTTGCGGAAACTCGAGCGACAATGCAACTTCGTTTCCCTTTAAACGCGGAAGACGCGATAAAATGTAAAGGGAAGCGTGATCGGAACAGAAATAATTCCGAAAACGCGATTCCGCCGCACGGCAGCCGATCGTGACGCAAAGACGGAGCTCCGTCGGTGCGACGATCGTCACGGATGCCAAACGACAAATCCTCGATACGGGACCGATACGCGGAGTTCCCTGTTGATTTAAAAAACGTGCCTATTCACGTTCTCGGAAGCAAAAAATCACGAGGCGTCGGAACGGGGAGTCGGGACACGTGCCGACGATTCGGTTTGGAGGGTGAATAAGATGGCGGTAATTTTCTCTCTTTTTCCCCTTTTTTTCGCGCGCGAGACGAGGGGAGAAGACTCGGCGGAGTGGTTCTTTCAACACTCACCTGCAGACTTGCGTTCGCGTCGTCGATAATCTTGTCCGTTTCCATGTTGATCATCTTACTCGCGTGACGTCCGTTACCTGTGGCCTGGCGCTCCGCGCGCGCCGAGGTATCGCGATCGCGAATAGGCGATGATAGACGGGATTCTGCCACGGGGCGATCGCGCGACGAGAATGGCCGGACCGACGGGATGCGTCGCCGCGCCGAGAGAGAGAGAATCACGTCGGGACAACGTGGACTATAAGCATTCAATTCACGAACGGCGATGGCAGAGAAGCACGATGACGGTTCTCGCTACGAGTCCTCACCGTGCATCGCGATGAGTCGACGCGGCAACATTTCTATTAACCAAAGCACAATAGCTCGCGAGCGTACCAAACTATGTCACTTTGACTTGTACACACGCCCGTACGTGTGTGTGTGTGTGTGTGTGTGTGTGTATGGATGTATGAGTTGATTATTCGTGCCAGACGAATATCGATAATCCTCCTTCTTCGGATCGCGGTTGAACTTTATAAACGCGGTGTGAATTACATGATATCACCAAACACGATGATCTCCGTCTCCCCTTTATCTCGGCACCCTCGACGGAGCGAGGGGAAAGGGGAAGGGGTGTCGCGATTCGAGCCTGCTCGTGGCGTGGACTATGCCGAACCGAACTGGCAACTACCGAGCGACGAACCGACGAACGGACGAACGCCGTGTGAGCGGCCGCGCGGAAACGCGACTCGCAATTCGAGAACACGACTCAGGAACACGCGAACGTTCCGGTACGTACTGGTCTTCCAAGACACGTCCTCGCGAAGCGGGACGATCCCGCAATTGGCCGACGGCGGCGGTGGCGGCGATGCGGACAAAACCGAGAACGCGGCGTTTCGACGTTACGTCGGCGCGAGAGCGACAACGCCTGCCAACAATGCCAACACACTGCACCGAATTGACCAGAATTGACTGTTCCGGAGCGAACGATTCGCGCGCCACCACACTATTTTCAAAATGGCAGCCAGCGCGCGAAAAACGCCCGTTTCAAAAATGCTTGAACGCTTTTGTACAAATGTATGTATATACAAATATATTTGAAATAACGCTTTTGTATATGAATAAAATTTCAGCTTTAAAAATCCATTTTTTCAAAATTAAGCTGGAAATACAATAGACACAGACAACAGGAAATAACGAGCCGTCCAATCAGAGCTCTGGGGTATAAGTTCGATATTATATCCTATATATTATATCCCTGTTTCCAGCTTTACGGTATGATGATTTTTAACTTGGTTGTGAGCAATCAATATCAAAATGCTTCTTTTACTTAATCCGCAATGACAAAAAATCTTAGAAATATTTTTTAAAAACGATTTTGTAGGAAAAACTTTAAGCTTTGACGTTAGAAATTTGAAAATTTTAGCAAGGTTTTTAGGCACGTAACAAGCCCACAAAAGTTACGGTCCACTTGACGCTACAAACGCTTCGAAGCATTCTTTGATTAGTCAATTCGTAAAATTCTTTGTTGATTGGTCGCTCAAACGCTTCGAAGTGTTTGTAGCGTCAAATGGACCGCAGCCAAAGTGAAAAGAAAATTTTCCATTTTGTCCAACTCGTAGTTTTCTAAATGTCAAAATTAATAAACTTGCAGAAACTAAAAAGGCAAAGTGATCTTTCGAAAGTGAAGATTTTAAGCTTTGAAATCCTTTTTTTCATTGAAATTTCGTTCATTAACAAGTTCCAGCTGCTCGAATTTTGAAAATTCATAGCGCTATGCATTTTATAAATAAAAATATATTTTTTTCACAATTACTGGATAATCAAACTTGGATGATACTAAAAATTGCTGTTTTAAATTAAAATTAAATATTATCAATTCTAAATATATTTATTCTATGGTTGAACTACCTAATTTTGAGTTTGAAACAAATTTATTTTGAAGTACGAAATACTTCTTTTAGCGGCAAATTTTTTGTGCTTAAATTTTTTTTCTTTCCTCTTTCTTTTCCCAATATTTAAACATACTGACAGTAAAAAAAATCTGTAACTTAAGATATATATATATATTTTGGTATAAACTCTACATACATATACTTATTTCATTTTAAATGCAGAAAATATAACATAATGCATTTAAAAAAAAGACTAATGCAGCCGAAAAACAATAAGCGCTACAATACATACGAATCTTTTTCGAGATAAAATAACAAAATAAAATTGTACAAAAATGAAATATGTTAAATAATTATACATAATATAATTATTTATTCCTTATATTTTAAACGTAAGCATATAGAAATAAATACTACTTATTTTCTATTTTTAACATGATTATTTCGACAATATTTCCTTTGCGTTGCACGTGCACCTTTTATATGTAAAATGAAGTAGTTGTATATTCTTAACAACATTACACAAAGACGGGCTATAATAAACCCAAATAAACATAGTGTTAGTTTTACTTTGTACTTATCATAGTAATAAAAAAAACATTTTAAAATGACAATTTTATTGATACATAATTTAGGTCTTAGGACCAAAATTAATTTAAAATATACTAAAAATATCACATTATTATGACTTAAGTCTTTGATCAGCTGGAAATTTTAATTAATCTCACAAAATTTTAATTAATTAGTAATTGTATCACAAATCTTAATAATAATAATAATAATAATAATAATAAAGTTAAACAGAGGAAAATAAAACACACAGTATAAATAATGCAGCTATAATGAACAAATCTTATACATATGTATATATATAAAAATTCTAATATATCCGAATTCGACTCTGTACAGATATATTTATTTTTAGATGTATATACTGATACACAAAATATACAAATCCCCAAGATTTTAACAAAAGTGTTAAGTACTGTTGAAAATATATATGGCGCAGTAATAATCCTGATATCTTTATATCCACTTAATTTGTTCGTTCTTATTAGATCTGACAGTGTCTGACTGAGCTTGTAATGTAAGCGCGACGTACGGTTTATCGCAATATGCTGAATCTAATGGAGGATAATAATGTCTGTAGCAGACGTATGTTAAGCAGTAGCCTATTACTGATCCTATCACCACGTCTGAAACGAATTCTGTGTCATTATAATGTAAAATTGTAATGGAATCATATTACTTTAACAATAAGATTTTTCAAATTACCTTGCCAGTGATGGTGATAGTCGCACGTTCTACTTAATGCGATAGTAAGAGCGATGCAAAGTGGCAAAAGGAACATGCACAGTTTCCACGATTGTCCTTTTCCTGCCAGGCTGAACGTATGTAATTTTCCAGCTAAATACAAGGCGATGAAGCCGAAACTGGCGAACGCAACTGCAAAAATTACTTCTATAAGTAATAGTATATATTTTATAAATAAGTTATACAAATAATTAGAATTATATATTATTTTATTTTTATATGTTCTTTACATGGAAAAAAATTGTTCATTTGACTAAAATAGTTTATTTCGTCTTTATTTTTTTCGATGAAGAATCTATGTATTTAAGTTATACATGTGTTACGTTTTACTTAAATACATACATTTTCCAACGAAAGAAATAAAGGCAGCTAAATTAATTTAGTCAAATAAACAATTTTTTTCAGTGTATCAAATAAAAAGTAATACATTTATCCAAGTAAAATTATAGAGATATATGAAAATATAGACTTATCCACATGTAAGAAATATCTATATTTGCTAATGTTATAACATTGACATACACGAGGAATGTCCGCTTGGGAATGACTTCTTTCCGTCTCTAATAATAACTGGATCTCCAGTGCATTTAAATCCCGAATTCATTTGTCCATCCGGATAACATCGCCAGAAGAAATCTGGCCTTGGGCGACCTAAAAATATGATGAGTATGATGGCAAAAAACGATATAACATCATTTATTATATATATGATAATACTATTAAAACTGCAAATATTTTTTATTGCTTTAATGCATCTGTTATGTATAAATTTTTCGATAATAACATACCTACTATAAGTTTTAAAATGTCTGTAATAAGACCATTAAATCCTAGGGCTAACGTTACAGATAATACTGACTGCTGAAAATCAACTTTATCTCTGTGCATTATGAAAAAGAAGCAAATAACAACGATCGGCATCATAAATACAAGAGGCTGAAAAAATATTCAATATAAATTAGTTGCAAGATATAACATTCGCTTATTAAAATTTCTTCTCACTTTATTGTTAATTATATTTATTAAAATCTTCCTAAATATATATACAGTGAGTGCAAAAAGTATTCATACACAGAGAAAATATTTTTAAAAAAAATTTTATTTTTAAAAAGTAAATATTATCCAGCAAGAAACGAGTCATCAAACTGATGAATCGATATCGATACGATGATTTCAACACCAATTTGACGTCGATTCGACGTTTAATTGAGGATCATTTCTTGTTGGGTAATTAACAATTTATTCATAAAGAATAAAATAGACTGTTTCTTAAAATTATATATACCAAAAAGATGTGTATTAATTATGGAAAATATATTATCTGAAAAATAAGCAAAAATTAAAAATTGTATTGTTTGGATGCTTAAAAAGTATTCGTACAGTCGTGAAATTTAGCTTCTAAAATCAGGAATACATGTGAAGCTCATTTGTTTATGTTAGAATAGAATGTATTCATTGTATGAAATTGATAATTAATGTTTATTTTCTATAAATAAGACTTTTTTTATAAAAAATTTCCTTGTACGAATACTTTTTGCTCTCACTGTGTATATATATATATATATATATATTTAAAAAGCTGTATACATATAAGGAAAAGACACAATATCTACCCATAATACTGTAGTTGGAACAAATGAGTCTGTTCTTGGATTTCTGTATAACCACAGCTCGTCTTCGTGAATTATTCGTGTAAATGGTTCTGCTTTTTCTAGCTCCCTGAAAACCATCAAATTTAACATTGTACTAAATGAATAACAATCACATTTATGACAACAAAAAGACATACAATTGTTCTTCATGCATAATAATAAGCAGTATTACAAATAGTTTATATTACATACAATTTATATTTCATTATTTAAAAAAAAATCAGTTATTTATTAAAAATTATATCAATACATTCATCAATAAGAATATATAAAATAGAGTATCATAAAATTTGTATAAAAGTGTAATATAAACAATTTCTGATCATTCTTAATTATTATTAATTAACACTAATTAGAAAAAATAGAGAATTATTCCTCAGACATAGTAATAAAATAATATAAAAAGTAAATGTAAAATTCATATTATGACTCTTAAAAAAAACAATTATTATTTCTTAAAAATTATAGTAAAAGTTATTAATAAAATCCATAAAACTCGTTTTTGAAATAAAAATATTATATGGGTAAAGTTCCAATATCTAATGTTAATTATTATTACAAACATTAATTACTAAATGTTATTATAGAGTGTTGACCATAATTAATGCTAATTGTTAATAATTTAATATTGAGTTTAATAACATATTATTAACTGCAACATTATTATTGATTGTTTAACTGCACGCTCTCTCATAAAATGTCAACTTACACGAATAGCACTGCCAGAAAGACACGAAGTAAAACGTCAAACAAGAACCCGAACGAGAATTGAAGTCCGCGTATGTTAGTCATCTCAGTCACTCATTTAAATGAAGGATAGATCGCACCAACTTTTTCCGTGTAAAGAAAGTATAAAAATCGTCAACATTAAACTTAAACAATTCATTGTGCAATAAACCGTGTCGGCCCGCTTCGACACCGATCGAAGTACAGTCAGTTCTTCAATATGGCACACACCCGGTACATAAAACGTCGATACGGAAAGTCGAACATAATCGATATCTCGATT